GTGGCTGGGGGCAGAACTGCCACCTTCCCCTCCTGCTTTGGAGAAGGGATCCTGGTGCCCACTTGAGGCTGAAGGTCAGCCAAGAGCCTAGGGTGTTAACACACAAGCGCTCCTCTGACACCGCCCCTCTCACTCTCATTCCTGGATGAGTTCTGGAGGGAGACAGAGGGCAGGGCCAGGAGAGGCTGTGATCGCACTGGTTTCCTCAGGGCAGGACCTGTGTTTGCCCTGCTGTCAGGGGTCTAGCCCAGTGTGTGTGTGCGTGTGTGTCGGCTGAGTGATCAGATGAGCAGAATAAATGAAGGCGCGCTCGTGTGTGAGCGGCACCTGTTAGGCGTGTTTGGAGGAAGAAGGCCGTATGTCTGAGATAATGTGTCAGGGGAGCTGGAATGCTAGAATTCAGACTTTCAAATCAGCCAGGAGGGACCATGACGCTTCGCTCTGTGCCATCAGCGGAGAAAGAGAGCAGACTGCGCATTCATAGACAGAATTATAGAAGGAACACTGAACTTTACAAAGGCAAAGTCGGCTCTTAAGATGACACGGTCAACATGCCTGCTATGGTCAAGTCCGTCTTGTTCTTTGGGTGGGCAGAGCAGGGCACATTGTCTGTGCAGAGGGAGTGGCCCCATCACTCCTGGGGCTCACTCCCACCCCTGCGCCCCGGCACACACAGGCTTCCAGCACCTCTGGGTCAAACCTACTCTCCACGTCCAGAACCACTGTGGATGCCCCTCTGTGTGATGTCCCCCTTCTTGGCATCCCATGTCTGAGTGTGTCCTTGCGTTGATAGCTACTTATCGCCCTACACTCTCTCGCCTTTCTTTTACAAATATTTATTGTTCTTCTCTCAGGGTTAGTAGGATAGAAAGGATACAGCCAAGTGCTAGAGGCAGGTCAGAGGCCACTGGACCACGAACGGAGGGCACGACCTTTGAGTACCTGGGATGCGGGGCTGGCCCGGACTCCTGCGTGGACCAGGGTCCTTTCTGCTCTCACAGTGTGTGTGCCCACTGCACTGTTGAGTCTCCCGACACGCCCACCCTCTGTCTCCTCGCCCTGACTGGCTTCCTCCCCAGCCTCCCTGGGGTCAGGGAGGTGGAGCTCTGCTCTGCCCTCCTCCTGCAGCCCAGGCCCTGCCCTGCACACCCAGAGGGTGTGGTCCTCATGCATACTCACTGGGCAAGGGAATCAGGCCCTGGGCCTCCCTTGCAAAGGCCTCTGTCTCCTTCTGTCCTGGAACCTCCAACCCACACTCTTGGCTCAGCAGCCAGGGAGGCTTCTATGGGTCACATCGGGCCGTGCTGCTGAGGGGCCAGGTTGCCTCCTCCTCCCTGCCCCTTGTGTCCTGGGCACCCTGCGTCCGGGGAGGCTCTTAGGTCACCCCAGGGCCTTTGCTCCCTCAGCCTGGGGTACCTCTTCCACCCGTAAGCCTGCGGGGCTGCTCCTTTTCATCTCTGCATAGAGGGCATCTCCCCAGAGAAGCTGTGGAGCCACCTCCCCGGTCCCTCATCCTCCCCGGTCCCTCATCCTCCCCGGTCCCTCATCCTCCCCGGTCAAGCCCTTCACCACGCCCATCCCTCACACTGCCCACCCCCCTCGCTGTTTTGCCACATTCCTGAGTCCACCCTCGTGGCTGTAAGCCTCACACACCAGGCCTGTCTGTGCTTTGTCACTGCTTCTAACTCCCGTTCCTACTCACTCTGGGAGGAATGAACGATGCGGCTGTTCAGGGAAGCCCCGAGGCCTGAATGCCTCTTCCAAAGTCATCCCGGTCCTCCAAGGGGTGGGGAGAGGGTGGTATCCACCCTCACACACCCCACAGACATTTACAAGTCACCCACCAGTGTGTGTGAGTGTGGGGTGCTATGCCAGGGCCTGTGGGACTTCTAGACTTTTGGGGACAAACTTGGAAGTGTTAAAGGATGAGTGAATCTTAGCACGCAAGAGCGGCTTCCTGGAGGAAGCAGCACCGAAACTGAACCTGGATGAACCAAAGGAGCCTCGTTGGCCAAGGGCAGTGGACAAGGTGTGTGGCGATGGCAGCAGGGGGTGGGGTTCAACAATATGCCCCCAAACACCGCAGGCTGACCCGTACCTCAGCAGGTGCAAGAAGGACCGTGACCTTCCTCTGGAGCAGGTCGCGTGACAGGCTCTGTGACAGGTGGCCCTCATGCATGAGGAAGGGAATGGATGCAGAGAGGAACAGACACAGGCTTCAGACCCCCCACTGGCCTCCTTCCACTCTTGCCCTGTTGCTCTGGAGACCCCAGACAGGCACCCAGAGGGGCAGGACGGAAAGCTCGTCTCCTTCCCGACACCAGGGAGCTTTGCCCACAGTTCACCTGTGCTCACAGGGCAGAGCCCTCACTCCACTCCTACCTGTGCCCAGCCTGGTGCCAAGCAGCGAGGCAGAGCCAAGGAGGATGTGGAGGTCAGGACGGTGGGTGAGCACCTGTGTTGGCTCTGTTGCCCTGCCTTGGGGTGACTCCCTGAGAAGCAGACCTGGGAGTGAGGGATGACACCCCAGGAAGATGGAAAGGGGTGAAGGAAGCCAATATGGGTGCCTTGGGTTGCTAGACCCCTGCCTTGATGAGACACGGCGACATACCTGGTCCCACCAGAAGGGGGAAGGCACCCAAGGTGTATCAGCTACTTCCTCTCACAGTCAGGGTGGTGGGTCCAGGTCCCTGGCACTTTCAGTGCAGTGGCTTGGGGAAGTCCAGGGAAGATTGCGACCTGTTGGCAGTGCCCTAAGAGGGAGGGTAGGGGGTGGTGACACCTGCTAGACCCACTTCCTAGGAGTCTTAGCCTGAGAACCAGCCTCCCAGGGGAGTTCCCCCTGAATAGCACCCGGCGTCTCTGTCCCTCCCAGGTCCTGCACCCTGCACTGTAGAGGCACCATTTAGCCTTGGGTCTCTTGGAGAATCTGTGGAGCTGTCTGGCTTTGGGGGCTGACAGCCTCCGTGACTCCAGGTAAAACCGCCCCTTCCGAGTTCTCCTGCCCTATGCCTCGGCACTGTACACCAGGATCCCACAGGATGTGCAGGAAAGTATGTCTGGAAGCAGCCCATGCTTGCCCGCTCCATCCTAGTTCTGGGTTCCCAGGGGCGGGGAGGGGAAGTAACTCACCCACGGTCACGCCCCTGGGATCCCACCTGCTCAGGAGTCTCAGGGGCTCCTTGCTCGGACCCCTCTCCTCCCCAGGAAACTGCTGTCTGCCATTCCTGGTGCAGTCTGCAGCCTCGTCTTCTCTCCACTTTCCCCAGCTGAAGAGGGAGCGGCTCAGACAGCTGTGAGCTGGGACCTTCTCGAACGGAGTTGCATTAATTTGTAAATATCTTCATTTATATGTAAATACGGAGTCCCGGGTGCCCCACCACCAGCTTGCTGGGGGGCCCTGCAGTGTGGAGCTCAGCGTGGTGCTCTCCCAGTCCTGCTGGCTGTGACATGGTGGGCCAAGCCAGAGGGGCTGGGACCTTCACTCCTGGGGTGCTCTGTGTCGCAGAGGTTCAGGGAAAAGGCTTGGATTGGAGGGATGCCTGGTCCCTGACATCCTGAGAAGCCCCTGTGCTGTGTGACCTTGGGCCTCTGCTTCCCCAGCTATCAAATAAGGTTCCTGTAGAAAGAGGTCTGAGCAAGATCGTGTCATTCTGGAGGAGGTCCTTGGTCTCTTGACCTTGTTGAACCCTGACCCCTTGGGAAAAGAAAAAAAAAAAATGGAGCTAGAGAAAATAATAATAATAATAATAATAATAATAATAATAATAATAATAAAAAAAACATACTGCCAGCGTTCAAAGGATCATTTATGAAGCTCAGAGAAAGTTAATGCAAGGTTTATGGGCGTCACAGACAAGGTGATTTTGGAAGCTTTTTCCTGCTGGGGGAAGGGAGTGGTCCACACTGGCCCCTTGCCTGGCCGAACTTAATGGACCCTGAGGAGGCTATAGCAGGTGTCTGGGCTCGCTCCCTCCTGGAAATTCAGCCCAGGCATCCATGGATCCCAGCTGGCAGAAGTCAGTTGGAATTCAGGCCACTGAACACCCACCCCAGCATTCACACTCCACACTGGGCGTTCCGTGGCATTTGGAACCAAGTGGCTGGGGTTGTGTGCGCTGCCAAGGAGCAGCATCTGGGCTGGGGTTTGGACTCAGATCTTGGAGTCCCAGGGCTGTGCTTTCAACACTCCGGGGACATGAGGAATGTTGGCGGGGGGCCTGGGGTTTTCTGCACAGCCTCTGGGGGTTTCCATCTTGGAGTCCAGAGGGGCCAGGCCTGGGGGTGCAGGGACTCCCTGCAGAGTTGGGGTCCCAGGAAGCTTGGAGAGGTCCGTGGCTTTCAGGGCTAGCTATTTCCCCTCCGCCATGAGCCCTGGCATGCACTGTGGCCGCGTCCTCCCTGCAAGCCCTGGTGCTGTGCTGGCCCTCCCTCCTTCTTCCTCTTGATTGTGACCAACTGTCCTGGGTGATGCAGGGGTCACAGGTGTTGTAATCTCCTAGGTGTCACGGATGCGCTTGCATATTTTAGGCACACCCCTCTCAATCCGTACTGAACTCGGGCCCCCTGATGACCCGGGGGTTGCATCCACTCCTTTCCCCGCCCACTGCTGTTTCTGTCCTCATTCCTGGCTGGGATCCCTAAGGCCCTAAGGCCTGGGGTATGAGTTCACTCCAGCCCTGCTATTCCTGGCTGTGTGACTTCAGAGTCTGCTCACCCTCTCTGGTCCTGCCTGAGTGTCCTTACCTGCAAACCCACCCTGTGGGATCACTGGGAGAGCTGGCCCAGGGTGCCGATGGTGGGTGGGGGTTGGGGCCTGATCCTCCCCTGCCTCACCCCTCCAGAGGCTGCCGCTGCAGGGAGAGGGCCCCAGCTCTGTCTCCCAGCCACGGGGACACGCAGCCCAGAGCGCTGAGAGCTGGCTGTGAAGGAAGCCCCTGCCTGCGTGCCAACCCTGCCGCCCCCACTCCCCGCCGCCCCATCCTGACCCCGGAGCTCACCTCACTGTGGACTGGTACACCAGGTCCTCCCTCTTGCGGTAGTTCTCCATGTGGGAGTAGTTGGTGGAGAACATGGCGTCGAAGGTGAAAATCTTCTGTTTGATGGTACCGCCCTCGGTCACCTGCCACAGAGTGAGGGCAGCACAGTGAGTGCCCGGCCTGGTGAGTGCCCAGCCAGCCCCGGCCACCTCTTGCCCCTGGTTGCTGGGGAGAAGCGGGCTGGGACTGCCCGTGCTGTCCACACCCAGGAGCTCCAGCACTCCCTTGCCCCAGCTGTCAGTCATTGCTGCAACCCTCCCTCGGCAGAGGGAAACCTGCCCTCACCTCCCTGACGTGCAACCGGGACTCCAAACAGGAGCAGAGCTGCCTCCTCTCCTGTACCAGGCACTGCCCTTGGGCCCACCTTGCAGGGATGGCCAGCAAAGCTTAGGGAGTGGTGGACAGGGCCAGAAAGTGTGCAAATAGCTCCCAGTCTGACCCCCAAGCCTTCCGGGGCTACTGAAAAGAAGGAATGAGGGAACAGGCTGGATGGAGAAGAAGCAAGGGGAAGTGGGAGCTGGAGGTGGAGGGGCAGGCGTGGTTCCAAGATCTCACAGGGAGACAAAAGTATTTCTGATAGATTTTCCAAAGAGAGGTTTGCAATGACAGGGGAGCCTAGAGCAGGGACAAGGCAATCACCGAGGGCTTCCTGGAAGAAGCCATGTCTAAGTTGCCATCAGAAGGAATGACAAAGTAAAAGGTGGGAGGGCCTCCCAGGTAGCAGCAAAGGCCCCGAAACAGGTGACAGCAGCGCATGCTGCTGAGTGGTAACCCTCTGGACCACTGCTGGGCTCCTGGATAAGTGAGCTCCTTGTTTCCAAGGCCCAAGGTCCCATGGAGGAGGAAATCTGGTTCCCAGGAGGGTACTGGGAGATGGAGGCAGGTGGAGGAGAGGGAGGGGCCCCCATGGGGGATGGAGGGAAGAGAGCAGTGTCGCCTCTCTACTGGCTGCCTTCATGATGGGCCAGGAGGGAGCCAGGATGTCCCCAAGGCACCAGGCACAGGGGACCTCAGCAGGTGACCACAAACACCAAGGGCTGGTTGGCCCCCTGTCTCCAGTCCCCGAAAAGCCAGCAAGCGGGCCACAGTGGTCCCTGGCCCCCAGCCTCCGCTGCATCCCCGGCTGCCCGCGCTGCCTCCGTTAATGAAAGTGTTACTCCACAAAGCAGCAAGGTATGTGTTGTCAGGGCTTCAATTATTTATCTGTTTACCCGGCTGCAGCTTTCCGCTTGTCTCAGCAACTCTATTATAGACTGGGAGCCTGCAGCCTCTCGCCGCCCAGCTGGGCTCCGCGCTAACAGCCTGCAACGGGGAGGCCTCATGCCTGGGCCTGGAGAAGCGGAATTAACTCCCTGCGGCTCTGCGTGCTGGAGGCAGGAGGATGGGGGAGGCAGAGGAGGCAGGGGGTGTGGGCAGCTGAGTGGACCCATTTTCTTCCAGGAGCCAGGGCTGGGACGAGTGCGGCTTCAGCAGGCAAAGGGGGCAGCTGGGGCTGGGATGCTCTGTTTGGGAACCCCAGCTCCAGGCACAGCTGGGTCCCCCTGAGCACACCTGCCTGGTGCAGGTGCCTCAGGCAACATAGTCAATGCCATCCAGCCAGCAATTATTTAGCACCAATTGTGTACATGTGTGTGCCACCTTCCCTGGCCTTTCAGGCTCGTGGGTAGCGGAAGGTTCAGGGATGCTGGTGTGGCCTCAAGCTCCAAGATCCCAGAGCGTTGGGGTTGGAGGGAGAGCGGCCACAACAGGACTTAGTACACTCAGCTCAGAGCTTGCAGACTTGACAGCTGGCCCTCTGAAGACCTGGAGCTTCTCACCTGTTTGCCTCAGAGCTGTCAGAAGGCAGGGCACACAACCTCTCACCCTGCCTCTTCTGGAGACAGCAAGAACCTTCTAGAAGAAGAGGCCAGACTGGACTCTCCACATTGGCACACATCCTTTACCCTGAGAATCAAGCTGCACCTAGCTTGATCGTGGGGCTCATGGGGAAACTGGGCAGCGAGTTTGGAGCCAGCCAGGCCTGGTCCAAAGCATCTTCCTGCTTCTCCATACACCAGCCTGAAGTGGCCCCTCCAGGGACCCCCACCCTTGGCCACCACATGACTTGTCTTGGTCTTCAACCAGGAGAGGGTTGTGCGCCCCCTCCCCGCCAGCTCTGGAGGTGACTGCTGCATCTGGGTGACTGGCCCAGTTATTGACTTTCAGCATTTGCCCCCAAGAGCCCTTTCCCTGTCGGGGCACAGCACCCCCCACCTCCCACCCATGGCTCTGCGTGGCCCACCCAGTGCTCAGGAAGTCATCAGAGCAGCAGATGACAGCATCCCTGTCACCCCATTTTGCAGATGAACACACTGAGGCATGCACAGAGCAAGGTGCCAGAGCCACCCTGGGCACCTGATGCTGGTTCCCTGGGTAGGTCTCCCAGTCCACCTGACTGGGCAGCAGAGGTGAGCTCAGGCACCTGTGAGCTCCGCCCACCAGGGGGCTCAGGGAGGCCAGCGGGGGCCTGAGAGGTGCTGTCCAGTCATCCCACCACCCACATCCTGTCTCTCTCAGGTACCCTCCTTTAATCCCCTTTGAAAGTACAGCAGCCCTTATCGTCCCCATCTCAAATTTTACTCCATTTTTTTTATTGCACAAAAGAGAAAAACTCTTCTCTGTAAAACTGTCCTCTCAAATTTATTCTCCGGGCTGAGGGTTTTATTACCAGGAAAATACGCCCGCACCCACGTGAGCACACCCCCCGCACGCCCCAGATAAAGCGCCTGAGCCATAAATCGCGGCAGGAGGCCTAGCCAGGGGATCTCAAGGGCAAGCTTGGTGTTCCTGGGGTTTGATTGACAGCCTCTTCTTTGTGGCTAGGTATGGGGGTTCACTGGGGGGGTCCTGGAGTCGCTGACCGTGGCCCTGGAAATGGAGGAAGAGGGACAGCAAGTTGTATTCTCAGCCCAGGCCGTGGGGCCAGTGGCCATCTGAGAACCTGCTAGTTAAAGGCCTTGCAGAAGAAGCTGGTGGGTGGGTAGGTGCTAGGCTGCCAGTGGGCTGGGGGTCACCTCCCGTTTCCTTCTAGAAATGTCTCTCCAAGACCCTGATACCATCCTGGGCTCCTGGCTTTGCCTTGGCCCAGACTAGTCGGTTTGTAAGCATTTGGGGAGCAAAGCAGCAGAGAGGGGATTCTGTCTCCCTTCTCTTTCTTCCTTTCTGTGGCTCTGATCTTTAAGTCAATCAATCAACCTTTCTTTTGATTTTATTTATTTATTTTTTTAAAGAAATCTCCTCCCAATCTCGGCCTGAGGCCGGCAGCCAGGGAAGGAGGAAAAAGAAATGAGCTCACACAGGTCCAGGGCCCTCCTGACCTTGTTCACCTCCTGTCGGGACCCACAGCCCGCACCATCAGCACAGGGACCAGGGGAGGGGATAGACGGTGACCGCTGCAGCAGGTGGCCGTGTGGTACTCAGAGATGAAGGATACTCACAGGGAGCCAAGCACTGCCCCACGGTGAGTGTGAGTGCTCCACAGTGAGTGAGAGTGTCCCATGGTGAGTGTGAGTGCCCCACAGTGAGTGTGAGTGTCCCACAGTGAATGTGAGTGTCCCATGGTGAGTGTGAGTGCCCCACAGTGAGTATGAGTGTGAGTGTCCCATGGTGAGTGTGAGTGCCCCACAGTGAGTGTGAGTGCCCCATGGTGAGTGTGAGTATCCCATGGTGAGTGTGAATGCCCCACAGTGAGTATGAGTGTGAGTGCCCCATGGTGAGTGTGAGTATCCACAGTGAGTGTGAGTGTCCCATGGTGAGTATGAGTGTGAGTGCCCCATGGTGAGTGTGAGTGCCCCACAGTGAGTGCGAGTGTCCCATGGTGAGTATGAGTGTCCCATGGTGAGTGTGAGTGCTGCTTGGTGAGTGTGAATGCCCCACAGTGAGTATGAATGTGAGTGTCCCATGGTGAGTGTGAGTGTCCCGTGGTGAGTATGAATGTGAGTGTCCCATGGTGAGTGTGAGTATTGCATGATGAGTGTGAGTGCTCTGTGGTGAGTGCAAGTGTCCCATGTGAGTGTGAGTGCTGCATGGTGAGTGTCCCACGATGAGAGTGAGTATCCCATGGTGAGTGTGAGTATCCCACGGTAAGTGTGAGTGCCTCACAATGAGTATGAGTGAGTGCTGCATGGTGAATGCGAGTGTTCCATGGTGACAGTGAGTGTCCCATGGTGAGTGTGAGTGCTCCACAGTGAGTATGAATGTGAGTGTCCCATGGTGAGTGTGAGTGCCCCATGGTGAGTGAGTATGAGTGTGAGTATCCCATGGTGAGTGTGAGTATCCCATGGTGAGTGTGAGTGCCCCACAGTGAGTGTGAGTGTCCCATGGTGAGTGTGAGTGCCCCACAGTGAGTGCGAGTGTCCCATGGTGAGTGTGAGTGTCCCGTGGTGAGTATGAATGTGAGTGTCCCATGGTGAGTGTGAGTATTGCATGATGAGTGTGAGTGCTCTGTGGCGAGTGCGAGTTTCCCATGTGAGTGTCAGTGCTGCATGGTGAGTGTGAGTGTCCCACGATGAGTGTGAGTGTCCCACGATGAGAGTGAGTATCCCATGGTGAGTGTGAGTATCCCACGGTAAGTGTGAGTGCCTCACAATGAGTATGAGTGAGTGCTTCATGGTGAATGTGAGTGTCCCATGGTGACAGTGAGTGTCCCATGGTGAGTGTGAGTGCCCCCACAGTGAGTGCGAGTGTCCCATGGTGAGTGTGAGTGTCCCATGGTGAGTGTGAGTTCTGCTTGGTGAGTGTGAGTGCCCACAGTGAGTATGAATGTGAGTGTCCCATGGTGAGTGTGAGTGTCCCATGGTAAGTGTGAGTGCCCCACATTGACTGTGAGTGCCCCACAGTGAATGTGAGTGCCCCACATTGAGTGTGAGTGCCCCACAGTGAGTATGAATGTGAGTGTCCCATGGTGAGTGTGAGTGCCCCACAGTGAGTATGAGTGTGAGTGCCCCATGGTGAGTGTGAGTGCCCCACAGTGAGTGTGAGTGCCCCATGGTGAGTGTGAGTATCCCATGGTGAGTGTGAATGCCCCACAGTGAGTATGAGTGTG